CTCCCCAGATATCCCCCCCCCCATTAAAACCCCTTAATCCCCCCCCCCTTTTTTTTTTTTTTTTTTTTTTTGCATGCTATCAGACACAACTTTAAGTTTCATGAATGAAATCAGAATATGCAGATAAATGCAAACAGCGAACGCATCGAGGGGAATGGAAAACACGAAGCCACTTATAGAGAGTCGGGGGAGGAAGAGCGGTGATGTTCAGGGATAGAAACAGGGAGGGGGTGTGGGTTGGAGTCTGGACCAGAAACACTGGAGACATGAGTCATGGCGTGCAGTCTCCCAGGGGGCATGTTGGTGCAGTCTATAAAAGGAAATAGAAAAACAGCGGCTTCCCTCGCCCACCCAGGACTAGGTTATGCCTTATTAAAATCTGATAGCTTATGACAGCAGCTGCTTTGTTTAGCCCAAGCCTGAGTATCACCCCCACCACCTTTTTTTTTCTTCTTTCACTGCAATGGAGAAGTGAATGTAAATGAAAAAAAAAAAAAAAAGAAGTAAGCTGCTTAGAGTCGGAGGAGTTATCCAGGGATGGGAACGTGCAGCCGAAAGCAGGTCAAAAGTATCTGAAAGTGGAAACGCTTCATGGGAGCTTCTGCCTTTATTTTCGTCTCACTAAAGGCATCCCACATCTGTTAAAATAAGTTGATGAGTGACATGAACTAGTTAACTTGGCTCCTTGGTTTCCCCTTGGCTACCCTGCTGTGGAGCTGGCCTAGATTAAACATTGTCGGATATCTGGGACAACCGCCGAAAAAAAGAAGCAAAAGAATAATAATAATAATAAAAAAAAATCTCTGCCGTCTGGTGAAAGTGACCAAACGACAAGCCCTACCTCACATATACATCAAGTCTTAGAATCAACTAAGCACATTTACACAGGCGCTATTCATGGCCTCAATTTCAAGGTATTTCTCTTCATGGTTTAATACAGAAACAGAGCATGAGCTCATAAATGTGTAAAGAATAAACCATGCTACCCTCTTCCTGTTTGTTTTTCCGGTTCATACTTGGTTGATTATTTGTAGTTTTATGTCTCGGTCCCTCTTCAGTAACACATGACCTTCAAACCAGAATATAAAGCTCAGCTGTAAACAACATAAACTTGTTTTCATCTGAAGAGCTGTTGAATATAAGTGCCGCCACAGCATGATGCAGCCACCACCATGTGTCAGCTGTGTGCGGATGGTGTGTTCAGGGTAATGGTGTTTCCCATATTGGCCACAAAATGAAATTTTGTGGCCAATATATGGAAGGCCATGAATGCCTTCTGTTATATTTTCAACAAAGGTTAGATTTATGGAACATAAAAATAATAGTTGTCCAGCACTTGTTCCACACTCTTCCCCCTTTCAGCTGATGCACTGAACAGGCATCACGGAGAGTTTAAGTTCAAAACTTGGTATATTGTTTTACAATGTAAAACAACAAAATATTTACCAAGTATTTTCTGCATCGTTTCTGCTTACAAACAAATTTTCTATAAGATATAGGAGCTTGTTTTAAGTTAATAATTCCTTAATATTGATTTTTTTTTTAAGGAAGGACATTTCACTTAAAAACATGGAGAAAATGTCTTATTTAAGTTAAAAAATCTGTATCTAGTACTTTCTAAAATCAATATTAAGGAATTATTAACTTAAAACAAGCTCTGATGTCTTAGTTTTTTTTTTTTGGTTTTGTTTTCTTTAAGCTTTTTGTTCATTGTTTTATGTTCTTGAACAAACCTCTGAGGCCTTCACAGAACAGTCGGATTTATACTGAGATTTGATCACACGCAGCTGGACTTTTACAGGCAGATGATTTGACTGGATTGTATTTATGGGCCAGACTACAGGATACTGAATACAAATACATCGCACACTTTTCAGAGTTGTTTTTAAATTTTGAAATACTTCATATTTATGCACTACTTTGTGTTGGTCACTCAACTGAAATCCTCAAATAAACGCAGTGAGGTAGGAGGTTGTAACGTGACAACCATGCACACAACACGCACTCATACCTAAAGGCAATCCAGAGGAATTGCCTTTAGGTAATTCCTCTGGAATTACCTAAAGGCAATTAGGTAATTCCAGAATGTGTGCAGAAAAGCACACATGTGCTTTTCTGCACATGTGTGAGAAAAGCCACACATGTGCAGGGAAAACAAGCAAACTCCACGCAGAAAGACCCTGGGCTAGGATTCACACTTTTTGCTGCACTCCTGTACTTTCCCTCTACTTATTTCTTGTCTCATTAGTTGCATGAAGAAAAAAAAGAAAAGATGTCTCCAATAATTTTTTTTTTTTTTTTTTAAAACCTTCTTCATCAAGATTTAATTTCCGGTCAGCTGCCAGAACTGTGCCAGTTAAGTAGAAGTAGGTTTAGCATAACAGCCTCATGTGCTAATATCTGCAGAAACGGTTTAATCCAGTTTGCCTGGTTTGGTCTATGTAAATTCATATGACCAGAAGGATTTGTTAAAAGATATGGAGCGACTGAAAGGAAAAGCCCACAGTAAAATGGATGTTCATGATGATAAAAGCAACTGCTACTCTGCTGTTGTTTTTTTACATTTACATGGCTTTCCTTTGTGTCTGCCATATAAAAGGTGACTGGCAGAGCTCCATGGCTGCCGGGGAGGGAGAGCCAGCGCCACCACAACACCTGCTCCATCTCCTTTCCCTCCTACCTCTGAGAGCAATCTGCCCACCTGCTTCCATGGTGAAACAGACACACCCTGCCCGCAGTTCCTCCCTCCTAGCCTGCAGCTAAAGTGGAGCTAGTCTGCACAGGAGCACAGATGCAGGCAGAGCTCCAGCATGCCTGGCCACCATATCCTGGGAGGGAGGGATCAACGGAGCTGTGGGTCTTTTGTGTAGCTGCCACCACTAAAAAAACACGCCCCGCAAGGTTGTGTTTGCTCTCCTTTTTTCCCCCCCACCTGTCATCAGTGCTTTCTTTCATCTGTAGGGTGCAGACCATTCCTTGAGGCAGCCAAGACATTATCTCAGTGGAGAGAAGGAGGCAAAAACGACAGAGGTGAACCTTTTCGAGGTTGGAGCATGGTGTACAAAAAGAGGGTTCAGCCGAGGAGCTCTGGCTACTCGCTGAAGAACACCCCCGTACTTGTTGTTGTGATTGTTGTTTTAATGATTATATTGTGTATTTATCTGGAGATGATGATGACATTCCCTTGGTGACTGTTATTAAAATGCTCTGTGTTGTGGCTGATCTGATATTACGAATAAATTAGTGAGATTTAGTGTCTGTGTGTCATTTCATCCTATTTTATTTTACAGTATTAAAAAGGAAAAGATCTGTATTCCACACACAAACACACACACGCACACACACACACACACACATCTATACAGTATTAATGGATATATGCCATGAAGGCTCTTAAGAGGTATTAAAAGGTCTGACATAAAATAAATAGGTGAATGACAAATATTTTTGGTTGTTTTATTATATTATGAGATTATATTTATATAATCCCAAATTATATTTGGTTGTTTTATTATATTATGAGACAAAAATATGAAATGTAGAGGATGTAGAATACATTTTCTGGAAATAGTTCTTTATCACAAGCAAGGCGTTGGGATTTTATCAACAGAGATTTATGGATAATTGTAAAGAAGAAGGAAAAGTGACACATGGTTGATGGTTCTCACATTTTCTTAATTAAAAACAGGATTTCTGCAAGTTTCAAAAACATAAATTTAAGACTTCAAGACCATGAAATTTTAAACCGATATCTTCACAGAAATCTACAAACGTAGTGATAAGTGACAAATTTGAACTTACCCTTGACAGCAAAAATGCTAGCAAGGTATGCAGGCAGCTAGTTAGCAGTAGTCTTGAGTCTCCTTCTTCTTTAATCTTACCGGCAAAGAGCTTTTAATCTGCACTACCACCGCTTTCTGAAGCGGAGTGTGAAACACAACGGAAACCACAAACTTCTGATTTTACAAACATCTCAGAATGTTAAAATGTGATTAGGCCAACCACGTGCACAAATTCATGTAGGATACTTTCCTATTCTTTTTAGATTATAATTCAAATAGGTACAACGAAGATATCTGAGTCCAACTTAAACTTTTTGTTGACATAAAAGTCCAGCGTGGAAAAAATATACAAGATTAAATAGTCCTGTCTGGACACAATGTAAAACAAAATTAGCATATTGAGGGCTAACTTATCTTTTTTTAAAGTTAATTTAAGACATTTCGGCTTTTTAAGGACACATTCATTTGCATTCTCCCCTCTTTATTCTGACGCACCTGAAGAAACTCCAGCACAACTTTAAAAGTCTTTAAATAGGTAATTAATGCGTGTAATTTAATCTCAGTAGAAATCTAGCAGCTCTGTGAAATCCTTAATGGTTTCTCGAAGAGCATCAGAAGAACACAGCAGATAAGTCAGGGAGAACATATTGGAGAAGTTTAAACCAAGGTTACGTTGCAAAAAAATATCCCGCCCTTCATTATATCACACAGCACTGTTGAAACCTTCGTGTGAAAATGGAAAGAGTGAACTTAACAAGATATTGGCAGCCCACCTAAACTGACAGGCTGGATAAGGAGAGCATTAATCAGATTCAGAGGAACTGCAGATGGGAAAATCTGTTAATGAAACAACGATTAGTCATGCTCTCCACAGATCCAGCCTTTATGGACGAATGGCAAGAAGAGAGCATGAGAAGTTCTGTACAGAGTTTACAACAAGTCATGTGGAGGACACAAGAGAAGGTGCTCTGGTCAGATAAAACCAAAGTTTAAATTGTTGGCCTTTATGCAAAATGCCATGTGGGCCAGAGAAAACCTTTAAGAGCTCAGATCAAAGCATTTCCATGTGTTACTTTTGCACATGCTGTCAATAAAAGCTGGAAAATGGGAAAATATTTCAGTCTCTAGACATACTGACCTGCAGATGTAACTGCAGCAAAATATGGTTTTTATGAAGTTTAGATTTATGCAGGCTGTTCCATATTTTCCTTTCACTTCACATTTATGCAAAACCCGTGCTGGTCAGTGTAATAGCTATTACAATAAATGCCAAAAGAATACTTTGAAATTGGTCGCAAGATGTGTGGGGGAAAAAAAATAATGTCAGAATATTTTTTACAAGACATCATATTAGCTCTTGAGATTGTTTTCCAGGAGGCTGAGCTGAAGTGTTGCAATCCACAAGCAAATAAAGAACATCGTAGAAGTTCAAAGCTATCATTCCGAAGCATACTTTGCTGTCTAACATTGCTAACTTGTTTTTTATGTGATGCAACAGACAGAAACTAGTACTGAAACAGTGGAGGGGTGTGTTTTTGTTCAGTTTGTGTTTGTTTTTCCTCCGGCAAGATGAGAGAAATGCTGGTTCAGCATGCTGTAAACGGCCCACAGGGGCCCGTTCTTCAGCATAGTCCTCCTCCAGAAACTGATTTCACCGCGGGGCTTTGGCTCACCATTCCAGCAGCCCTCTGGCCCGCATGACAACAGGCGGCCTGTTTTCCCCTGCAACATAGCAACACTGCCCTCAGCGAACTCCTGACTCTTGACAGTCAAAACACACTGCTGGCCAAGGTGACAGCAGCTTTGCATCGGGCATGATGAACACACCTGGGGTGGGAGGCTGTGAGCGTGTCACCCTGGCTGTTAAATCAACATGACGTCACTGGAGGAGATTTGAATAAATAATCATAAGCATGGGCCACACATTTGCCTCGTCGAAGGCTAATTTTCCAGAGAGGAATCTTAAACAAAAGCGCTCTGGGTGCGAGTTCAGGGCCGCTGACGGAGAGCAGCTGAACCAGACGTTTGGGTTTCACATTTCAAAGCTCCAGGGTCAGTTTGAGCCTCATAGGGGCAACAGCAAGGATGAAGCCTGAGACAAACACGTCTGCAGGCCTTATCACGCAAATCTGAAGCCTTTTGAAAGATAGAATGCATTATTTCCCCATTACTGTGTCAGGACTTTGAGTCATTGCTGAAGACATTCAGAGTTGCTGCACCGGAACAGGTCCCAAAGAGACAGAGAAGACGGCAGGACATGTAATTCACCACCGTGTCCTCACATCGCCTTCAAACAGCCTGTTGTTTGTCCTGAAGGGCAGTCTTCTTGCGTTTATATGCCCTCATACATATCAATTACTTGCAACTTGGTTTGTGTCATCCTCAAGGTGCCTGAAAATTAGGTTTCAATGTCAGCAGAGAGACACATTCCAGACAAAAATAACCCAGCTTTCACCTCCTGGCTGTTCAGTCTCTCCACCCCCCCTTCCGCTGTCACGAAGCAGCAGCTCAACCTGAATCTCCTCCCATTTAATAGCTCTGAAATCCAGGCTTGCACAAGCAACGCATTCTTCTTGCATCAGCAGATGAACTTCTTTCCATGTAACACCAGAGCTGTCAGCAAACCGTGGCGAATGTTTATGGAGCGAAACAGGAGGGGAAGCGAAGCTGCACTGTGTGCCTCTTTGTTGCTCGAACTCGCAGAGGATTGAATTCCTGAAAACTTGTACAACAACAACAAAAAAGAAAAAAAATGGCGTCACCCTTTGCTCTGAGTCAGAGATGCAGTGTGCCCTGGATGAACTTCCTGTTTCAGATATAGGGTTTCTCCAGCCGAGCCGCATGCAGGAAGTGAGTCACACTTATTCACCAGCCGTCTGCAGGCTGCAGACTCTTCAAGCCTCAGAGTGACAGGCCGTGGAGGGGACCAAATTAGCTTCTGAAACTTTAATCTCCTAAAACTTAATTATTTAATATCTGAACCACCCACATCAAAGGAATACCTCAGCTCTCTCCTCTCCAGCTGCCTTGATGGAGGCTTTTAATACCGTCTCCTGAAGGATTCACCTATTTTACATGGCTGCCCTGTGGTTTGAATGATGCTCTGCTGAACTCGTGCAAATCAGAGATATACCGCAGCAATAAACTGTAGTGCACTTAAACCTGCGTCTTTTAACAGAACATTGTCCGGCTGCAGAGCGTGATGTCGGCGCACATAAAAAGAGCAGGAGGAAACAATTACTGTGATCTGAAATGACGAGAATTTGAAATGAAAAGGAAATAAAGGCAGGGTTCCCATAAAGTTTCCATTTCAAAGTCTCATATTTTTTCCAGGTTTCTCCCAAAACTGTTGACATTAGAGTATAAAACACTTTGATTTACTCATCTTTATGTACAGATCAAAAAACAACACAATTCAGAAGTTGGCTTTGGATTTAGTAGTGTGGTAAAGGACTATTTCACTTCTTTTTTTCTGGTATTTGGACAAACTTACACTGGCACACAAAATCCTGAATGGATATGGGTCTTTCTCGTTTGTTTTTTTAGTAAAAGTTGCATGAATTTATCTGCAGATTCTGTCTGTAACTTAAAACCCCCCAAAAATCCATGAGTTGGTACGGAGACTTATGGAAACTGGCCATTATCTAAAGAAATATCAAGGTAAAAGCTCTTTGTTCTTCAGAAAATGCTTCTTTTAGATTATTATTAAGGAGTAAAATCTGGAAGTAAGCAGTTTCTTTTTTCTTTTTTTTCCATTATCCAGAATTGGAAAAATTCTGGCTAATTTTAAAACTGTGTAGAAATACTGTATACATCTAAAAAGAAACTAAAAATGTGAGGACTTACATATCCTACTCAGAGCTGGGGTTTTTTTTGTTTGTTTTTTTGTTTTTGTTTTTTTTACTGATACCATTAAAATAGTTTTTCTAGAACTACTTGTTTTGATAAATAGAGACTCTTCTTGAGCTTTTCTGCACCAAAAAGTCCAGGTGGGACTGGCATGAAACATGGGTTGCATGGGATTGTAAATGTTTGAAATTTCAGTACATTTTCGAATAAAAATGTGGTCAAAGAATTGAAAATGGGTCATTATTATGGCTTTTAAAAGAATAATGACTAAATCTTCTGATGCAATCAATGCATATGGCATCTAGCAGACAGAAAATCAGCCTCCTTCCAATGCCTTCAAGGTACAAAGACCTAAATCCAGAGGAAAATATAAAAGGTGAGCTAAAGAGAAGAACCAGAGCTCTGAACAGTGTGGAAAGAATTATATAGAAACAGCTCAAACCCTGCAAACGTATCATATGCCTGTATTAGCAATGCAAAAATAAACTTTTCCCCATTTTAAATGACATCCAGAAGTATAATTTATGTTGAAAAAATGTTGGAAGAAAGGGAAATAGGCCCCCAAACACATCAACCTTTGGAAACGAGGTTCTAAATGATCCCCAACTGGCCTTAATTTTTGTCT